CAAAATATTACCAGTCTCTAAAAACATATTTTATTTAACCACAAAAATACAAGCCAAGAGGCCAAGAGAAAGAATGGTGCTGTTGAATTACTAGTACAATACGTCTCCCAATCAACATTGACCCAGAATAGCATTAGAAACCACTGTAAGGATAAGTGAAAACTGATACTAAGACCTGAAGCACAAAACTGTGCACTGAAATTTTATAAATTTTACCTCCAGCTCTGCATTCTCTCCAAAGCCCATACCGTGTGGACTTACCACTAAACAGTATGAAATGCAATACTAATACAAGTTCCAAATTGTACGTCAAGAGGGCAAATCCTATATTGTATATATTCTGCTGTACATGAATAGCAACAAATTTCCCATCTGGGGCAGGTTGAAAAATCAGCTTAACTCTTCTGAAAAAGTCAACCCACTGCACTTTAAAATGCCACAACAATTGGTATTTAAAATCAAAGGTAAATGCCATGCATATACAAGAACAATGTAAATGCAAATTTTGGGAACAGAGATTCTCCTTTAAAAATTTCACTGACAGGGACAGTCTGTACCCAGTGTAGGTAGAATAACAAGTCACACAGTTTTCAATTAACTGTACACTTCATATTCTCTTTTGTTAAAGAAGTTGTGGATGGCAGCAGAGAGGAAAACTGCTGGCTGTGTTTCAGATAAGGGAAAGATGAAGCTAGCTCCTTCCTGAAGATCGAGTGGGGAATCTTGGTTCGGAAAGCCTTCTTGCACGCAGAGCGGGAAGAGCGACTAGCAAGGAGGGGGGCTGCTGCACTGGTGCTGGCTGGGAGACTCTAGGGAGGAAAAGGGAGCCCATCTGAAGTAGGACATGGGTCTACAGTGCAGGCTCAGATGATCCACAGAAAGTTTCCTAGAAGCCCAGAGGACTGTGTGGAAGGTGTCTGAATCAGAAAGCCAGTGAAGGTTGCCGGAGCAGGCTGTAAGGAAACAACTCATCCTGCAAAGATGCTGTTTATGGGAGGCAGATTTATTTTTCAGTCTTTCTGCCCCACCCAGCTGATCCATGTTTCCTCTATTTAAAGAAAAAACCCTTGTTCTAAGTTAAGAATTTTTTGACATCGTTCCAACAAAGCATGGCTTTAGAGTATAAAAGTCCGTAGGCACGCTCGCTGTAGGGAAGGCGGTGGGACGGCTCTGGTGCGAGGCTCTGGCGCAAGGCGCTGGCCTCACTTGCATCCTGCCACAGCACTGCCAGAAGCAGGAGGCCTGCAGGCAATTCTCCAGTTAAAAACAAGATTCCTGGGGGAGGGAGAATAATGCTATATCCTCACATTAAGGCACCTATCTGGTGCTGAGAGACGCAGGAGGGTGGGCTTGTTATTCTACGCCCCTCCTCCCCCCTGCTTTTTTTGAGAGCGAGAGAGGGAAAGGGGAAAGAAGAAGGAAGGAACATGGGGATGACGTAACTGCACAGAGGTCATCAACAACGCCCTTGGAGGACCTGTGGGACAAAAGTGAATTTCTTCTATTTAAGAGAATGATCAAAAGCAAAAAAAAAAAGTGATTTTTGGCTAACTCAGAAGCATCTAGTGGGGCTGGGGGGAGAAGCTAATGGCCCCATGGAGAAGCTTAGCAGAGACAGAGCCTGCTCCGAGGAAGGAAAACAAGCCTTCCAAAACGCTTACAGAGCACATGAAAAGAAGCGGGAAGATGCCGGGGTCCCAGAGGGACACAGGGGTGCTGTGCAGCCTAGACTGCTGAAACCAACGAAGAACAAAACAGGCAGTATCAGCAGTGGGTCTTTTCAAGACCTGTGGCACTGCTGGAAGAGAAAAAAGGCCGATAAACCTTCCCATGGGGCACCGTCTTGGGGAGCGACATAGAGCGGGTACTATTTCATGCAGACGATGGCCCCAAAAGGCAAGTGGAAAATGAACGTGATCTGACCACAGCCAGGAACGCACCTGGGCAGTATGGTCACGGAGAGAAAACCAGGTCCTGGATTACCTAGTGCCAGTACCAGTACTAAGAAGGCCAGGTCTACCACGTCTTTGGCTGAGTGTGGTTTAATTTTGGGAAGGAGGAAGATGAATATGCCCACTGTCTTGGCCTAGAGACATATGGCACAGTTCAAAGGACAAGGAATATGTCTGAAATGAAACCCAGGAAGAAGACCTTACTATAACGAAAGAAAATGCTGTTACGGGGATGGCTCGGATAAATTGTAAGAGAAGCCTGGCACCAACCTTTAGCAATATAACAACATACTTGATACATCTGTGTGAAAAACAAAACAGATTGGTAAATTCAATGAAGTCTTGAAAGAAAGTTCTAGTCCTTTAAGAAAAGGGTCTCTTTGTTTTGTAGTTTGGTACAGGTGAGTCTAGATTTTAGGAAGCTTTCTGAAATATTTGCCAGATACCTCAACACTGATTTACGGGCTCCTTGGCAGCAGTGGAAAGGAATATCTCATTCTCTTGCACATTTCACTAAACATTTGTCTGCCAGGAATGGAACCACAGCACCACTGAAAAGAAAACTACAGATGCACTAAAAAAATAAATAATTCTACTTATATAATTTTACTACATATACAGTTCTACCGTATTCTACAGTTCACCTTTTAAAAAGGTTAACTTAAGGGGGAAGTTCCAGTTCATGAGGTAGACTTTGTCAGCGCACGACTATGATGCACACACAAAAACTGCAAAGAGAAAAGATAAACAGGATGTTGATTCTGCTTGGGCAGAAAGACGCTTGGGCCACTAACCTCAAGAAGCTCCTTTTGAGTCCTCCTTTCTGTAACAACAGCTAAGGCACCTTACAACACTTGGAACTGTTAATATTCACAAAAGTGGACCTCCTACAACATGAGCTGAAATCCTTGACAACTCCAGGTGTTTAGCATTTTTTGAAAATCAGCTCTATGATATGCCCTATCTGCTAAAAAATATTCACGAACAAGAGAAATAATGACCCTTGCTACTATTTCTTTGAAGTTCAGTGATGAAAGCCAAGGAAATGAACATATAAAGATCACAGCTGAAATGCTTCAGGAATTATAGTCATAACTTCTCTGTCATACTGGCATGTCTGGACTTTATTTTTAAACTACAGCAAATTTTTATTGTAGTTATGAAGTACAATTCCCCAGAATCACTCCATTAATAACTTAAATCTGCGCAGCACTGCACAGCCCTTACAAGTTGGCTATATAAATACATTTATTAGGTAATTATTTTCAACAGACTTTTCCCACCTTTTTTAAATTCATCTTTGTTTATATCACATGTTCTCTGAGAATTTAAGAAAATATTAAATTGTTGAGGTTGTGCAAGCTTATTATCCATAATTTCTCCAGTATTTTGAATAGCACATCATAGCAACATAGCTCAGTTTCACATGTATAGCCTTACCTTCCTAAATTAAATTTGCAGATTTGGGAAGGAAATAAAACTTTCATTTAAAAAATAATAATCAGAGCACAGAAAAGGCAACCATATATAGTCTAATTCATGGCATTACAAACCATGTTTATACTCTGTAAATTCAACTATAAAGAGTTTTTTGTGATGTCACTAAGTAGGGATAAGAGATTACAGAATATAATCAATATGAATGTAGTATGTGAACCCTGTAGAGGAAGTCCCACAAATAAAGGAATAAGATGTTAAATAACAGAGACTATGACATGCTGTAGACTGAATGTGGAGGTGGGATCATGAGAGAAAAAAAGGCAGCTGTTATTAATCCAGATTAGATGGCCTGATACACTTGCTTCAGCAGTAATTTCTACTTTAATATTCCTAGAAAACAACAAAAACCCACTAAGAACACATATGCAGCATCCTGCTTACTGAAAGCTGAACACAATACATAGAACAAATATAATTTCACACCAGTTTTACCAACTGTAACACAAGCAAAAGCTGAACAAGCAGGCTGGTCTTGCAGGTAAAGCATCAGTCTTGTGTTCAATCCCTGGGCAATCACAGCAGGTTTACACTATTCAACAACCTCTACCTCTATTTGCTTTACAACGTTTTTTATTGATGTCTCTCTAGTTCGTACAATACGTGAGGGGAGTGATTGCCTTGTTTTAGCAACTTGCAGAGCACTGCTGTAATGAAGCACTAACCCTGAGATAGCACCGGATACAAATAATAAAACATTACGATCAAAGTAGCTATTTATGGAATTCTGTAATTAAAAGCAGAGGAGGAGAAGTATTCTGTAATGATAACAAATGAACAAGTTAGCAAAAATGAATAAAAATATGCTCTTAATGTACAGAAGTAGAAATAATTTTGTCATGACTGTTGAAATAGTTCAAAACCAAGGAAGTGATTACTTTTCAAAGACAGAACATGGAAATAAAAGTTCAGCTATCCACAGTGTTTGGATGAATTTCAGCCAAAAAAACTCCACCAAAAACCTGAACAAAATCAAAAAAACCCAAACTCCAAACTATTGCTTGCCATACCATCAGTATTCAGAGGCAACAATGATGTATGTAAATTACTGTCCTCTTCCTTAACGGCATATGTGTTTGTGGATCAAACATCTCCCAGTTCTCTTGCTGGAGCTACTGATCTGTCCAGTAAACTCCTGGAACGATTTTAAAATCTTTATGATTTGTCACTTTATGACCCCCAAATTGCTTGCAATAGATAATCTGAAGATCAAGAGAAGCTGCTCTGCTTAGATCCTCCATCTGGAAGATGCAAGTGCTACTGCCAGCCTAGGAATTAAGTGCTAAGGCAGAACAAAGCCATTGCTTTTTTTCTGGAGATTACAGTATGACAGATCATAAAATATTGCATAATGTTTAATTAATTTAACAATTCATTGCAATATAGCACTTAACTGTCACACAAAATGTGAACATGACACGTTAGAGAAAGAATTAACGAAATTATGCTAGAAATGTGAGAATAATTGTTTCCACTGCACTCATTCTGCTGCAAACTGGAAAAAACCCAAACCAAGCCACAGAATATATAGATTGTTTGAAAAGAACATACCTATTAACTCCTTATTTCTGACATCTAAGGCCATGTTTCGTAAAGCTGTAGCAACTGCACATACCACCCGGTCATTGTCTATTCGAAGCAGTTCCACCAGGATTGGCAATCCTTTTTCTTTGCGGACAGCAGCACGGATGTACACTGACCACTGTAAAGACACATGGGAGAGCGTGAAGAAGAAAGTGAGAAATTCACTACAGAAATCAAGGCATTTGAGGTTCTCTCAGATACTAAGTAAGGAGTAACAGAAGCATGTGGATGCAAACTCAAAAGAGGGGAAATAACTGCATTTATGATGCTAGGCAACCATTTGATTTGGAAATCTGCACTAATTTTTTACGGTGGCAGAGAAATTAAATGATGAATTGACTTTACTCCTAGCACACCTGGTTACATTTTTAAAGACCAAGTCTGCAGACCACTTTCTTTGCATCAGCATTTCCTACCCAACATCTAATGATGCTTGTTCACTGCTAAAACAACAAAATTTATATCGCAAAACATGTTCAAGAGGTCTGAGTATTTCTTTGTTATTACTATAATCACTATTCATGCGCATAACATGAAAATGCTGTTATAATTTCTCTTGTGGCTGTTGACTTGTTCAGAAGGAAAAACGAAGGCAACTATATGTCTGGTTTTGGCACCTGCAGTGGTCCTAATTGGAAGACTATTGTACATCAAGGAGTTAAAGATTCACATAAGAGTTGACCTGAGGCAGGTGCAGGCCTGTGCTGTAGAATAAACCCAGTGGCTGATCGTATCGGAGAAGCCTGTAGGCACCTCCCACTTGGCAGCTGGTCATGACACCACTGGCATGCCCTTGTCTTTATCTCAAAGCGAAGCAGCATGTTCTCATGTGAACATCCTTTTTGTTGACAGCAGAAACAATGAACAGAGTTGTTTACTTCTAAGAAAAATCTTCTAAGAGCTCTAAAGACTATCATGCCAGTGAACTTCTCCATGGATGGGATCTGTGCAGCGTACTGTGACTAGAAGGTCCATCCAATGCTGCACAGCTTGGGGTTCCCAGAGTCTGAAGGGATGAAAGATTAACTACACTACCCTCTTTTTCATTCCACTGTTAGCCCCAGAGGTTGGAAAAAATGTAAACAAGACCAAGACTGTGACCTTGTGGTTTTAAAATCTACCGGTATTGCCAAATTTGAGATGCTTGGACACCTGTGGGATGTGCAAGTCTTCTCAGCACAGTCTGCTACAAAACAAGCCATCTACTAGGCATATATTCCTTCCCACATCCTGAATTCTTCTCTGGAATTTTCATAAAAGTTCACATTCATCCTCCTCGTACTGATAGCTGAAAGGAATTTACTGAGGCAGAGCTCCTCCCAACTTTCAGTGCTATGTCATGGATGCTTATCCTGCCATCATACCTGGAAGGTGAAGTCAAAGTTCTGGAAGCCCTTAGCCTTTGAAATATTTCAAATATTTCAGAAACTAGGATGATAAGCCTTAGGGTTTTCAGATCATTCTCTTTTGATAAACCTTCCTTAAAGAACAGTTAGATCACACCTTACAGAACAGTTACATCACAACAGAGTTCCTCCATAAGCAGAAAAACGAATTCCATGAAATCAAGAGTTAGAAAATAGTAAGCACAATCACTGTCACCAGACCAAGCTTAACCTCTGCATACAGTCTCTACTTACCACAGTTGAAGTGCTCACTTTAAAAGCTAGCATCTGTTTATACTATAGACATGTGCCCCGAACAGCAAAAGCCAAAATATATTTTATGGTAACAACCGTAGATACAGAGACAGGCAAGGGCTGCAATGTTGCAATATCTGGAGTACAAATTCATTCCAGGTGATGTCATTCAGGGGAAATTGGGAAAAAGGAAGAGAAACCAGCATGTAAAGAATATTATTTTATTATTTCTCCTCTGTAGTAACTACGCATAACAAAAGCCAGCTGGCTGGACTTTGCTGTAGATGAAAGTGGTAATGGTTACAGTAAGCTTTCAAGTCAGGTAAATGGGACATAGGATTCTCAGCATCACTGAGCACAGTAATGTGTCTAAAAACGTAAATGTGCCATCATTTTCTGCAGCAAAGCAAATAGCTCTTAGGTGAGAGAAGAAGTGGTAGCAGGATTCTTGATTGATCTTATTCTATGCTCTCTCCTCCAGTCTGTTCTCTCAAAGCAGTGTACAGGATGATCATCAAATAAAAAACTAAAACACATCCTAAGGATCAGTGAGTTTAATTGAAAGTATCTGCTGAAAAATATTTTCTTTCCTATACCTTCATTTTAATGGGATATTAAACATAAAGGATGAAATGAAAACATCAAATTAATCTTTCTAAGCTTCCTGTATTAATAAACACGTACTTACCTGCCAGTTAAACACTCTCACCTGCAGCTAGGAGTACCCAAAGCAATAGCTGTTTGCACTTAAAAACGCGGTATTTTCTATGCCTCTCCTCCGCTGTGTCTGCTGCAATTACAAGGTGACTGCCGAAGTGAGAGTTCATGGTAGCAGTGAGACTATTCTGAGAAAGTAGTGAGCCTGTCTAGTTGAGGTGAGAGTTCAAGCTAGCAGACAGCCTACTGAAAGATGCTGTTGTTCATTGCAAAAGTACATCACAGATGTAGTGCCTCCAATAGCGATTACATGAGGAATCAGTTGGGTTTTTGGGGAAAAAAAAATCTCACTTCTGTTTGTTCAATACCAGAGAGAATCTAAAATGATCTTATAGATTATGCACTATATTATAAAAACCTCCATATTGAAACCTCAGTAAACAGTTTTCCTTTGAATTTTTTCAGTCAACTACCAAGGGAAAACACAAGCACTTGTTTTATGAAACCCAGGTTTACAACAGGTTACAACAACTTCTTGGATTGTAGTATTTTCATCATCCATTCCAAAACAAAAGTCTAAAAGAAACAAATTAAGAAATGGATTTTTTTTTAACCCTAGGGAGAGAAGACGACATTGTAAAGAAACACTGAAATGACTCAGTATGAAAGAAAGAGATAATATAAACCCCCTTACTGAATAAATGACATGCAAGCCTTCAGCATCTGTAATGAACCAATTAATTCGATCACAATAGCAAAAACCCACAGCTCTGAAGCTTTTATAGGGGAAAAATCTGGATATAATGTTTTACAGACGCACATGTGCACACACATACATAAAACAACAGGAGAAAGAGAGAAAAGTATGTATGAAACCTCTCCTCTCCCCTGCAGCTCTCTCTTTCCTGACAACGCCATCCGCTTTGGGAGAAGTTCACAGGCTCCTCAGTGTGTGATTTGCTATCATTTCATCTGCATTTTCAAGTCACGCACCTCAGGCAGAAAGACAGAAATGTCTATTAATTGTTTCAACAGTCTCCGGAGAACTTTCCACGTTGAAAGTGGCAAGAACTGTCTGTGTCTCTTTCCTTGAGCTGCCAATTAGGATAAGTCTCTGCAAGCAATTACGCTGCGCTGTGCAGATTTCAGGAACGCTCAAATTGAGATGCCTCAAAATGGCTATTTTATTCTCACAGCGAACGGAAAAATTGATTTGCTCTTGCGTATACTGATGATCCTTTTGTTTGCCTAAAGCCATTGCAAAACGCGCCTGCACTTCCACGTTGCAGGTCAATTGCTAATATGAGCTTAGTGAAGTATGAAAGAGAAGAGATGAAAAATCATAAAAAAGAAAAGAGACAAAGGGTTTGTTGCCTATCAGTAGGTAAATGAGGCACTCTGCCAATATACTTAATCATCCTGTTAGTCCACAAATCAGTGGCAGTGTCAACGATCAAGTAACTGCTCAGTTTGTAAAGAGAAAGGGCTCATACGGGAACAGCAAATACTTTAGAGGGAACAAGGACCCAAAAAAGAAAATAAAATCATTACAGTTGCATCAGATTGCAGCTAAATTATCAGAGACAAGCACAGGAACCACAATCTGTGCATGAATACTCTTTACAGATAATTGAATTTGGGGGGCATAACTACTATACATCACTTTGAAGGTATCTAGTGCATCTCTCTGTCCACTTTCATTAGTAGTTCCCTTTTTAATTTTGTCATGGTAATTAAGTAGAAAAATACAGTAAACTGGAAAATTATTTTTTAGTTTGTCACAGTTATTATTATAAAGGACCCTTTCCAGAGCTGAATGCCTCTAGGGATTAAGATTTCATTAGGAAGAAACTCAACAAGAGAGTAATTAATCTAGATAAAACTTATTTATTTTTTCAGAAAAATTGAAAAGCATTTAGCCAGTTAACTCTTTTCAGTGTTTCATACGGTTTTCTTTATTCTTCCATGAAGCATCACCCCAGGAGACCAAACTAAAAAAAGAGAAGAAATTTCCAGCACAAAATTAAAAAGAAAAAAAAAAAACATTAAAATACCACCCCACGCCCCCCGCCAAGGAATGCCAACAATTATATACACTTGATATTTTGAAGGGGTTCACTTTTCTGCCATTGACATCAATGTTATTGGCGTGCCTCCAGAATATTTCCCCATCACATACTTCAGTTTTGACCAGAATTTGCATGGTATTGGTACAGCTCAACATTGTGACTCAAAGATTATTGAGATATTGAATATTGAAGGGAATTGCTGAGACATAAACTACAAAATGAAAGCCAAATCAGGGCATGACAAAGCAAACTAAATTACCAAAAGAACCAGGAAAATTAGAGAGACTCAGAATTTGCTAGGAGAGGCTTAGAAAGGGGCTGTCTGCTAACAGTAGTGGAACTGTAGACCATGGAACAGAACTGCATGTTGAATAATCAAAGATCAACGAATAATCTAAGATCTTTGTCTGATCATACTCAATGTAATACATGCATTGGGGTGGGGGGGGGAAAGAGCATTTTTACATTCCACTTAGAAAATTACAGATTTACTTAAATAACTCTACTGGGGTTCCTGTGAAGTCACACCACCTGACAGAAAGCAAGGCCTTCTCGTTATCTTTCTGCAGTTTCTGAAGAGTGCAAGTACTTTCCAGGGTCTTTTTGCTCCCTGACTGCAGTGTTTTGTCAGAAATGATCCCATCTGGTAGGCCACCAATAAGTTCTCTTCATCTCTGATTTGGGACAAGAAAAGTATTAACTAGTTACTTTCCTCTTGCTCCGTGACCTTTAGTCAAGCTTAAAGAGAAAGG